TGTGGGCTGATTGCTGCACTTGTGTGTTCCTTTAGTGGGACTGGCTCTGTCTGGTGCCCTCATAGAGGAGTGGAGGTGTTCTTTCTGCCAGATGACAGCACCAGGTTGGGTGTGTGGTAACCTGGTGTTTTGTAAATCTATGTTTTCTGAAAGATACTGAAGTAAACTGCAGTTCATAAGCAACTAATTTGGATGCTGCTGCTTAGCCTGGCTTCTATTGCAGTCTTCATAGCACAAGGCTGACCTCCCTCCCCCGGTGTTTGATAAATGTTTTATTTTTACTTTGCTTTCTTGAAGTTTGTTGTAAGATGTGGTACAATGTTTAGTCTGACATAAAAGCCCTCCCTCTGTCCGGGGTACTTCAGTACGTCATTGGAACTGTTTGCATTGCTCCTTCATGCTTTTTCCTTGCTGGGAACTGTCCAAACACTGACTCAAAATCCCTGTTTCCTACGATTTCTTCTTTGTGCATTACAATTTTACATCCCTCTTGCTTCATGGCTTTTGAAATCCTTGGAGGAGATGCAACAGGAAGCAGTCAAAATGATTTGGTGCTGTCGTAGCTGTTGTGATGCAATTTCCTTTTATGGAGATGAAGCCAAACACAAGGTGGAAAGAAAAGATACTTAAACATAGAAAAGTACTTGCAGCTTCTGCTGGTGAGCTTGGCTCCCTAATTTCCTCCACTTCTGTTGGAGAACCATGACCACAGTGTGAGGCAGACTGGGGATGTAGCCAGCACTTATCTAGAGCTGCCTGAAGTGAGCTGTTTCCCTGCTTGGAGGTTTTCCACACCTTAAATTAGGTCAGGAAAAAGTAAGTCAGAGGTATAGTACAGAAATGCTTGACCATAAAATTAGTATGTATATAATGCACATTTATAATTGAGGTGGTGAAAATTAAGATTGCTTATGCACATTTAGTCTTCTGTAAACTTCCAGTGCTTAGCTTTGCAGCCTTAAGCATGTGTGTTTAATGCAGTTTGTGGGGCAGCCATGAAAGCTCTATGAGCTCAGTGAACAGGCTCTGGCTGCATGTGCTTCGTTCTCGTTAAGGGTGTATTATAGTCTGTATTTGGAAGTTTAAATTCACCCTTGGAGTTACGCTTGTGCTAAAGGGCATGATGGCATAGCTGTCATGTGAGTGACTGTGCTGTAAATTAAGGAAGGAAATCACAGTGGTAGCCATACAAGTAACCGTAGCTTGGGGACGAAGAGAGGAGAGAGAAGATCTTAATGGTACCTGGGCTACTTTCACTTTACACAGGAGTGAAGTGGGGGCCCCAGATCTGTGTTTTGATTAAATGCACCTGTACTTCTGCCTCTGTCAAATTTGTCTTTGTCAACAAGTCAAATTGGTGTCTTGGTTAAACCCACTTCAGCGAAGGCTGGATTGGGATTTTTTTTCTAGCAGTCGAATCTATCAGATAAGACTTGGTGCTACACAACCCTCACATGTGTTGGGAAATGTTAGGTTTGGAATTGCAGGCTGGGCTCTCAGCAGGGCACTGCTCTGGCCTGTGTGTCCCTGAGATGAGGAACGGCTCTGCCTGGTGCATGCACTGGCTGCAGGCAGGCCCAGTGGCACAGCAAAGATGGCTCTGTGTATTTTTGAATCATAGAATTGTTAATGCTGGAAAGATCACTGGGGTCACCTGGTCCAGCCATCAACCTCTACCTGTGACCACCTTACGCCATGTCCCTCAGTGTCTTACCTGCCCTTTTCTTGAACACCTCCATGGACAGTGACTCCACCATCTCCCTGGGCAGCCCATTCCAGACCACTCCTTTAGAGAATAAGTTTTTCCTGATATCCAACCTGAACTCCCCTGGCACAACTTGAGGTCATTCCACTCTGTCCCACTGCCGTTAGCTGGAAGAAGAGGCCAACCCCACAACCTCTCAGGTAGTTATAGAGAGCGATAAGTCATCCCCTGAGCCTCCTCCTCTGCAGACTGAACAATCCCAGTTCCCTCAGCCACTCTTCATAAATCTTGTGCTCCAGACTCCTCACAACTTTGCTGCCCTTCTCTGGACACGCTCCAGGATTTTGATGTCTTTCTCGTAGTGGGGAGTGGAGGGAAAACCTGCTGCTTTTTGTTCATGTACCATCTTGTTGAGGGTTTGACCTAGTGAGCATGGTTCTGTCATTGCACTCTGATAGAGAATTAATGCTGTCCTATTCTGGGGATGTTTTTTGAGCCTGTCTACCTCAGCTCAGTAGACAGTTGAAAGGGAACAGAAGAAGGCCCTGTGATTTCTTTCAGGCCATATTAATCTCTTTGATATAATGCATGTGACAGCACAGTAGTTGCACAATTATCTGTGTCTTTCTGCTTTGGAACGACCCCACTAATTACTTTTCATTGAGAAGATGGATTAAGTAGCTTGGGAGAGTGTTTTATAGCAGCTGACGTTTAGGTGGCCGGATGATGTGGAAGGTGACTGGGTGAAGTTGGCACAGCAGTGCCTGCTGACAGGAGGCTGAGGGACTGTGGGTGCAGGCACCTTGCCCATCTCTGCTCATAGGGCTGCAGGCAGGTGCAGTCCCTGTGCGGGGTGGTGGGGAGATGCTGCTGCTGCCTTTGTACAGCTGTTGTGGCCTTGTGTGGAGTTTGCTCCAGAGTAAGCAATAATGGTCTTAAAAAAATCACCAGTTTGGATTGGTCCACCTATATATTCTTTTAAGTGATTCCTCTTTTAACTCTAAGCTACTCCAAGGAGATATTTTTGGCTGACCTTTAAAAGTAAACTTCCAATGTTTGCTTCCTAAAAAAAAAAAAAAAGAAGCATTTCAAATTGTAAACTTACATCATGAACAAGTGTAAGGTTTCTTATGCACATCTTCGAGTAAGTCTTTTTGACTTACATTTGTAAGAATATAGTTTTGCAAGTTTCTCTTCACCTGTTCTTCAAGAAATTTGTCTGGTTTTGCTTTTAGTTGTTTGTGGATGGTTTTTTTTTTCATGCTCCCTGCTGGAGGTTTTTGCTGCCTCTTGGGATTCTGCTACAGGCCAGAAATCCCTGAGACCACATATGAAATTTTGTGTCCAGTTCTGGGCTTCCCAGCTCAAGAAAGATGGGGATCTTGTAGAGAAAGTCCAGAAAAGGGTTACAGAGATGATCAGGGGCCTGGAGCACTTCCTGTGGAAGGAAAGGCTGAGAGACCTGGGACTGTTTAGCTTAAAGAAGACTGAGATCTTATCAGCGCTTATAAAGGAAAGCCCTACAGAAGGATCTGTACAGGCTGGAATGATGGGCTAAGACCAATGGTTTGAGCTTCAGCAAGACCAGATGCAGGGTCTGTTGTGACCTGCACTTTGGTCCCAACAACCTCATGCAGTGCTACAGGTTTGGGGCAGAGTGGCTGGAAAGCTGCGTGGTGAGAAATGATCTGGTGCTGCTATTCATTGTATTGCTGAATATGAGTCAACAGTGCAGCCAAGAGGGCCAGTAGCACCCTGTCTCGTATCAGAAATAGTGCAGTCAACAGGACAAAGGTGATGGTCATCCCTCTGTACTTGGCTCTGGTGAGGCTGCACCTTGAGTACTGTATTCAGTTTTGGGTCTATTGCTACAAGAAAGACATTGATACCCTTGGACGTGTCCAGAGACAGGCAACAAAGCTGTGAAGGATCTGAAACACAGGTCTTACATAGAGAGCAGCTGAGGGAACTGGGATTATTTAGTCTGGAGGAAGCTCAGGGGAGACCCTATCACACCCTACAATTCACTGAAAGAAGGTTGTAGTGAAGCGAATTGGATGTCAGACTCTTTTCCCAGGTAACAGCAGTAGAACAAGAAGTAATGGCCTCAAATTGTGCTGGAGGGTTAGGTTGGATATTAAGAAAAACTTATTCTCTGAAAGAGAGGTCAAGCCCTGGAACAGGCTGCCCAGGGAAGTGGTGGAGTCACTGTCCCTGTAGGTGTTCTAGGAAAATGGAGATGTGGCACTGAGGGACCTGGCTGTATTGTGATGTGTTGATGTTGGACTAGATGGTCTTAGTTTCCAACCTTAATGATTCTATGATTCTAAATATCTGAAGAGAGAGTGTCAAGAGGATGAAGTCAGGCTCTTTACAGTGGTGTCCAGTGACGTAACAGTGGCAACAAACAGGAATGCAGAAAGTTCCATCTGAACATGAGGACAAACTCCTTTACTTTGAGGACTGTTCCAGAGCACCAGGTGTAGGTGCTTGGAGAGGTTGTGGGCTCTCCCTTCCTGAAAGCAGTCAAAACCTGCCAAGTTCCTCTCCAGTGCAACCTGTTGCTTTAGCAGAGGAGTTGGACTAGATGTCTCCAGGTGGCCTTTCTGATCCCTGGGATTCTGTGATTCTTTGTATCAGTGACTCCTGTGGCAGTGCCGTGCTGACACTGGGTGTTTTGTAAGCCCCTTCTCCCCTGGAAAGCAGACTCTTCTGTCAATGTTTTGGATCTGGGGGGATTTGAATTCGGGGTACTTTGAATGTACAACTTGGTTTCATCCCATGTGCTCTACATGCATGCAGTAGCTGGGTATTGTATTTACTTGTGCCAGTAGTAATAACACTCATTAACTCATTTGCAAATATAATTTCACAGTGTCAGAAAGTTACTGCTTTCAGTTTACTAACAAACCCGGTGTCCCTACCCCAGCATAACTCAAAAGGTTGCTGTAAAAATGCACAATCCCTTGGTTTTTCAGTAGGCTGAATACTAGGATAAAATTATGAGCCTTTAAACTAAATAATAATTTTTTCCTTGTAGCTTGAGATCTGTTCAATCAATAATCTTTCTGCTAACTCTGGGGAGAATTTTAGTTGCCTCCATAAAATGTTTTAATTATTTAAAATCATAAAATATAAGTAGGCACAATTTGCTTGGAACTCATTAGGGAAATATATGAATAAGAAGAAAAGATGATGTTTGCTTCTGCATTAATTTAAAGCAGTCTCTAAAATATGAAATCTAATCCTGGAAAGCGGTGACTTATCAGCAATGTTTACTTTTCCTATAATAGGAATAAATATTAAAGCAGCTAGTTATGTGCTTATCCCTACAGTGTTGCACAGAGGCAGAAAGGATGACAAATAACTTGTCTGAAATCCCACATTAATTTCCCTCTTTTAAAGGTTTTATGTTTGTTCATTTCCTTTTCCAAAACATTGCCTTTAAAATTATTATTATAAACCAGGTGACTTAAGCCATGAGTAGTTGCAAATGCATGAGACCAATTTGTGCGTGATTAGATTTAGGCAGGGGTAATGCTTTATTCTGAGGCAAGCCCTTGAACCTGGAGCAAACATGGGGCAGAACCTGCAGCAGTGAGCTTGGTTGCTCCCTGCCCAGTACTTCTTGCTTGGTATCCGGTCAGAAATCCCTGCTTGGAAGGCCGCTCTGGTTGCACTTATGGCTTTTCACATGTTGATTCTGGGAAGCATAAGAAAGTGGTGCTGCTGAAGTGGAAATGAAAGGAGTAGTAAAATAAAAACTGATGGAAAACACCTGGTAATCAGTCCAGAATCCATATGCGGGGAGCTCAGAGGCTCCTTAAATGAGATGGCACATCCCTCATGAGGAAGAACATCTGGAGCTGTTCAGCACGGCCATGCTGCAGCTGCAAGGTTCAACTGCTGCTGTGCTGAGCATCAGCAAGGCTGCAGGGCCTGAGATGTGGTACGTGCCAGGTCCTTGCTCCTGAGCGGCTGGGGAGCTGCTCGTGTGTCAAAGGAGAGGACTTGGATGAAGCTTAGTCATGTTCCTTTCTGTATATCTTAAGGGCTTTATCACAAGAAGCACACCAATTGTCTTCAAGAAGCAGTTCACAGGAATTGCTGACCATGTGTAATGTAGTTAAACTTGAACAGACTAAAAGCACTTCAACAGCTCAGTCCTGAGTGCTTCCCAAGCTGCAGGTAACTCCAGGATCCTGCTGTCTTCCCTCTGGATATAGTGGAAGAGGTCAGCAGTGTTGCCATGCGCTGCTTTATGCTGAGTGAATGTTGGCTGCTTATTGGAGTTGCAGTTACTAAAAGATTCTAATTCCGCTTTGCAAGTCTTTAGTTTGGAAAACGGTGAGCCTACACTGTGTGAGCAACAGGTGTGATGCTGGGAATCAGGTTCAGACCTGTAAGCTTCCATACATGATCTCGCCATTAGAGAGAGACAAAGACTCATGCTGTGTTGTCGTGTGGTCTGTTCTCACCACCTAATGAAAGCCTAAATTCCCGTGGTCCCCACAGATTCCCCAAAGCTGGTTCACCACTTGAATTAAACCATAATTATACATTATCAGCAGTCACTTTACAGTAAGGTTGAAGGATTAAATGCAGTTAGTAGTGATGAATTCCAGACACGCAGGGCAGGAGCTTGAAGAGAAGGCCAGCTTCTGAGTAACTACAAGATAAAGTGTAATGTATTCTAAATATTTGATTCAATTAAGCTTCCTTCTGCTCTTTGTTTCAGCTTACAGATGGCTCATCAATCTATAGTTTAGGGACACATTGCTATTCTTTCTAATGGTAATTACATGATCAGGATAGAGACAGGTCTGATTAAATGCTTGCAGTACACTCTGCATATTTGAAATGGAGCTGAGTCCATAGCAGAGGCGATGTGGTAGCCCCGCTGCATGCAGATTCAGACTGGCATTTAACAGTGCCATCTGAACAAAATCAGTCTTATGCTAGCCGAGGTGATGGGGACTTTGCCAGTTCCCACCATTCAAGGAGCAGGAGGAGTTCATTAAGTCAAAAACTGTTTTTGAGTCTTGCTGAAGTGTTATTTGACCATTTCTTCTCAGAAACTTTCTGACTCTTTAGATCTGCTTCACTGAGAAGATAACCTGGATTTTGCTATTAACTACAGTCTGTGATAGTCATCCACTGACTGTTGCAAGTTTAGGAAAGGCCATAACTTTTAGATCAGGGCATGTATTCTTAGCAGCTTGTAGCTACCTTTGCAGCAGATCCACACTACTGTAGATGCAAAGAATAATTCCATAAGATTTGAAATCATACTTCACTTTCTGTCTCATCCTCCTGCTTAGAATAATCTATCAGTAACAAAACCTGTTCTCCTATACAAGAAATCGGTATCTTTAAATGCTTTGTGCTCACTTTTATTGTGTAGTTGTATGTGTGGTGTAGTCTGACTTCCACGAAGCAGCATCCAAAAGTGATGAAACAGTGATGAGCTGCTTCACTTACTGAACTTTGTAAGCTCTAGTTCATTTCAGTTTGCCTTCATACTGAGTAAAATAGAATTGTCTGTTCAATGTTCTTATATGACAAATACATTATTAGGTGTATCTGCCTTTTCAGATTGTCAGTAGATTGTCAGTGAAACTTGCCTGCGCATCCCTGAAACACTTAATGTTGGTGTTCTGAAGAACAGAATCCTTCTGCCTTTCAGCAGAGATAATCTATTAAAACCTGCTTTTGAAAGAGCTCAGATGATCCAAGTCCTTCAGGGACCTTTATCTATTTAATCTCTCATCTATTATCTATGCTTTCCCTGTAAAACCAGGTACCACTTTTCTTTCCCACTGCCTGCCTTATGTGGTGAGCTCACCAGATGGGTACAGCCAGTTTGGTTTCAGTCTCCTGATGGAGATGTTACAAACAATGCTATGATCTCTAGCAGGAATTAAATATAGTCTTGGACGCTGCTGAGGGTAAGGTATGAGTGGGTTGGTTTGTTTCCATCCTATTTGCTAGGGCAGAGCCTTCAGTCTTACAGAACTTCAAAGAAAGTGGACTTTGTGCCATTGCAGAGCAATGTTTGGCAGCTGTTAGCTTGGTTTGGAAACCCAGTCAGGATGGTACACAGCCCTTTGGGACCAAAACATGAAGAGTATGTAGCCAGTTCAAGTGTATAAGTATTGTTTGTAACCCTTACCTTTTTTGTTATCCACTTAAGTAAGATTGTAATGTGGAACACAGCCAGAAGCTTTGCATGAAAACATGATGACCTTGTATATTTCTTTAGCCTCTCCATCTGAAAGCCATTACATCATTAAGACTTCACTAAGGTGTTATTTCTTTCATATAGATAAGAACACTGAGGCACAAAGAGGTTGGCAGCTCTAAGGGTAAAACTATACCCTGAGAAATAAATTGTGCAAGCTTTATGCCCTATTTAAAACCTCATGCAAGGGCCGTACACACCTTGTCCTGGCCTTCTCCCATGGATTTTACATCACAGCAGCTAGCCCTCATTTCAGTAAAGTACTTAAGTACATCCTGACGTGCTGTGCTGAATCAGGGTTTTAACTGGAAGAGATGGAAATAGAACAGAGATCTCCTTGCTCTGACACAGCAGGCACCACTTCCTTTCCTCACAACTTTCCCACTGCAGCAGTAGGAACACAGTATCCTTCAATAATTACCAGCAATTTTTAATTTCTGGTTCAAGAATCCTAGCACAATTTTTTTCTTTCCCTGTTATAACTTTTAACATTAAACTCTGCTTCTTTTCCTTTTGACAACAGGACTCGTTATTCTGCTATTAAGAGCAAGGTTCCTGAGTTCAACTACCATTGCCTGCTGTCCGGTGGTGCAGAAAACTCAGTCTCCAAGTGCTGTGAATGTCAGCTACATGTGCCATTTTTTCTGCCTTAAAAAAAAATAAAAATAAAAATAAAGAGTTCAGTTACCCATTTATCTTGAAGGAATCCATGGTTGTTGGTGCTTCGTAGCACCTAGCAATTATCTTAATAACAAGAGAATGTAGTCTTCTCCAGAAGGTGTGTAATTTTTACTTAGTCTTATCACACAAAAATGAGTCACCAACATAAATTCTCATTTGGACTTTTTCAATTAAATAGTGTCCTCTAGAGCTTTCATGGACAATGACCCCTTGACCTTCTGTTTATTTCCACTGTCGTTAAAAAATCAAGGTGTTTAAGCCAGTGACGGTAACTGGGGAAAAAAAAGGGGGATTTTATTGGCCCAGTTCTTAGAAACATGCAGGATGTGTGAAGTCCCAGTGAAACTGACAGATTCACTCTTTTAGTTTGAGACAGATGTTCCCAACAGATGGGAACCCACGGAAACAGTATGATGAACACTCTTACCTGCATGGATTCTTAGTATGTAGAGAAGTACTAAATAGCTCAAAAATAATCAGTTTGACACTGCTTTTAGAGACTAATGGTATGTGAGTTCCAAGTTCACACTCTAGTGTTTGCCCTCCTCTCCAGTCCTCAAAACTGTGTCACTAAAACGTATCTTAACCACTTCTTCATCCATCTTGTTATGACTTTCACAGAAATAACCCAACAAAATGAACAGCAATAAGGCAACCAGAAAATGGATTTTTTTTTTTCTCTGATCTCCTAGTAACATACAAGACTTTTTGCTTTGTCCTTCTTAGTTATTAAAAAGTGTGACCTTTTTGCTCTTAGTTAATGCAAATTTGTGCTGAGTTGTATCAGCAGTTTTTATTTTCTCTCAGCTTAACTGGTGCTTTATCTAGCTGCTACTTAAACCCCTTCTTCCTGTCCGAATTCAGGACTTACCCCTCATCAGTAGAAGGTGCAATTAATGTCCCTTCTAATCAGTGAAAACATAAGGGAAGAATATTCTAGTGGTTAAGATTTGTTTCAGAGGGTGATTTTGGTTTTCTCCATGGTCTTGCCTCAATTACTTAATATTTCCATGTTTTAATTCCCTGTGTCCTTACCCTCCTTTTGTCTCAGACTCAGTACCCTCTTTCAGGACAGAAAATCTCTTTGTTGTACTGACGTAGTTGGAAGTCAGTCATTCTACACAAATTCATTTATTTTTTTTCAATCACTGTTTTAAAAAGGTAATTTTCTAATATGCTTCCTTTATTATAATTAAAATAATTAAAATAAGTAGCCACACTATATTGCCAAGCAAATCATTCTCCTCAACTTAGCTGCCCTTAGAGTCTTGATGATTCTGAAGTCTACTTTCCCAAGCCGCGCTGTGCTGTGGAGGTGTGGGTTAAATAATCATTTTTGACAGCATTCTGGCTACATTTCTGCTGGTGATCTGATGCTTGCTGTTTCCCATGTGCTGGGACACCTCCATTTACAACTTGAACACTAATGTCACTCCATCCCCCATTGGGATCATGCTGATATTGACTCGTGCATCTCTAACAAGCTTCTCATTGAGCTGGTGGATGCTCTGTGTAGCCAAGTCATCCTTTCTTGGTTTTAGCACCATTCCACACCGAAGAACCTATTGAAAAAAGCAATGTTACGCACCTCATTTGTTCCAGTAAGTTCCCTGGACTAGAGTGGAAGTTCTAGAAAAGATTACGTGTGTTTTCTAGGAATTGATATCTTATTTCAGATTGCTAATGTTTTCCATCACAGAGTTGTCATAATAAAGTGGGACTGGGAGTCTGCAGAATTGGGTAACCATACTTCTACTGCAGATCAGAAGCCAGAACAAACAAAAAGTATGACAAATGTATTTCTAAAAGCCCCTATCCGGCTGACACCGTAAACCTGAAGGTCTCTGAAGTTTACCATCATTCTTTTTGTTACTAGTAAAAGTCCTTAATTTATAACTTATAAGTAGTTACTGATTACAAATAATACCTTACTTCTTGTGTAAATAGTAGAAAACACTACAAGACAAAACAAACTAATACAGAGCATTAGCTGTAACGAATAAACCTTTCATCTCAGGCTATTTAAGTACTGACATAAATTTAACAACTACTTCTTACTTATGGGCGCAAGAAGTTCTAAATATAGTGTTGCATAAAGCTTACTTTGATAGTTTTTGTTGAATTTTGAAGCCTCCTTTGTATTATATGGAACAAAGATGTTGCAACTCTCAATAGAGATGCAGGTGAGAAATCAAGTTATTAGAGTCCCACTGTGACTTTATTTTCCCTTCCCAGAGGGGAAAGCATTAACTCCCTATGCTACTACCACTACAGCCACAGTACTTACATTATCAATAGCTATTATTCCCCCTTTCCTTATGAGGCGCAAACATTTTTCATAGTACTCATTGTAGGTTTCTTTATCCGCGTCAATGAAAGCAAAGTCAAAGGTTTCTGCTTCTCCACCAGCCAACAGCTCATCTAGATGGGCAACAAAGTGAGCCGTTATGCCTCGGTTAATGCTGTGTCAAGGGAGGAAGTAATCCATATCTGTCGATGTTCTCATTAAATAATGTGTTTGGTGCTTTGACCAGGCAGCCTATTCCTCCACAGCTAATTACCAGTAATGCTTACCACATAGAAACCAATCTGGTTAAGATGTATGTCGTAAAACACCGGGTCACTGAGTGCTGCCAATGTGGCAGAAGTTCAAGGAGCAGTTATGAAAACCCACAGGATACAGCTGGGGCTGCTGAATGGTGCAGCAGAAGTAAGCAAAGCAGTCTGAAACTGGATGTGTTCCACACCTCTAGTTGTGTTTTGAGCTGATAAAGAACTGTGTTCTGGAGTGGATTAGTGTTTTTCTCTCATTTAGGAGCAGGTCCTGTATGATAATTTCTAATTGATGACCAAGTGCCACGATGCAGGTCATGAACAAACCCTGTCAAAAATCATCAGCACAGTAAAAGACAGCTATAAGTAATTCCTCTCTGGGCCAGGGCAAGTGGAACTTAGATTTAAGTTCTTATAAATTGTCTTCTTGAAAATTCAAAACTGCTGTTTCAAAGGGGCTGATGCTGTCTTCCTAAGATTCGCTCCCTTTCTGCTCTCCCACCCTCATCCTCTGTCATAAGAAATTTTTTCTCTGAAGCATTGCCTAGACAAAGCTGTCCATCAGACTTCAAGGACTGTGCATCCTGGCAGATTGCTAGTATTTTCCTCTTCAGAAAAGAAGAATGAATTTGGAAGTAATACAAGGTGATGGATGGGTCTATGGATCATCAAACAACCCTGCTAGAATCCTTCTATATTCTGCTAATACCTCCTGCATTCCTAACAATTTTATTGCATTTCAGTATATTTATTATTCCCTTTGCTCTACATCTTCTTTTATTGACTGAAAAAAGCCACTGCTATTCTAATGGCCCTGCGTAGTTTTACTGCATCCTAAGTCTCAACTTCTTTGAACCCAAACCAACTACTACACCTTAAGTTTTATCTTGACTTCTGTATTTTCTTTTTTCTCTGCAGCTCTTTCAGAAGACTCCTCCTCTCTACAACAGAGTTACACTTACTTAGAATGGACACTGGATAAGAAAAATTGGGCTTTGTCTAATTAATCTGTTTTAATCAGCTTTTCCAGAAGCAGCTGATAATAATACTTCACAGATTAAACAAGGCAATGGACAGGACAACTGAGTGACCAGCGTAGCTTGCTACACAGGATAAGCATTTTCACCTCTCTGATAACACATACCAAAACTGTAAACTTGTAAAGTTGTGTTTTGTTTTGTGGTTGGTTGTTGTTTTTTTTTTTTTTTTTTTTTTTTTTTTTAATTTTTTAAGGAATTCTTCAGATAAGAATATCAATTTCACTATTAACAAAGTTATCAGATCCAATACTGTATTCCTTGGATTTCATCAGCATTGTATTTGTCTTTGGTTTTTAAGGAAGGAAAGAAAGCATATTTCAGGTTACTTACCAAGTGTTTGAGTAGCTGGCTTAATCCGTAGGTCAATTTTATGATCTACTCCTGCCTAGGGTGAAAAAGAACACAGAGATTATGAAAGTTTTCAAGAAATAACCTCTTCGTATCTTGCAATGAGGGAGTGATTGGTGTTCAGATATCTTTTCCTATTATTTCTAGGATTTCTAGAAAGAAAGTGATTATTTGTCTTCTCAAAATAAGCTGTAGCAACCCTTGTTATAACAATACGAATGCTTGTGTGTGAATGTACAAGTCTAAGATACCAAAATTCCTGGTCATGCAAAACAAATGTCCCAAACATGTAATAGTTAAGATGCTACTTACTTCTTTCCACAGTGGCTTTCCAATTTTGGCATAATCTTCATTTATGTCACAAGCAATAACTCTGCCATTATCTGGTAGGGCAAGTGCCATACTCAAGGCATTATATCCTGTGAGAACTCCTAGGAAAATCACAAAAGCCATAAACAATTATAATGTTCTGCAAAACTGATAAATAGTGAAATAGAATGCTCCTTTAAGGAATAATAAGCATTAAAAAACAAAGAAAACACAGCAACATTAGAATCAAGGATGGCAATTTGCTACTAGACTCAAAAGGCTTTCCACTCAATTTTAACATTATGGGAGTTAGGAAGATTATTTTAATCCATCTCGTAGCAAAGAATTGTGTTGTGCCTCTTTATTTCTTCCCCTTAAAGGTTTCCTGGACATGCTAGGCAAAATTAGTCCTATATCTGAGGATCACCCACTTATTCAAAAGTGGAGCTCAATCCTGAGCCAAAGGGACTGGATCGACCCAGGAACAAAATATGAGGGCTTCGTAAGAGATGACAAGGGTAGAGGTGGTGGGACCTGTACCTGGCTGCTCAGCTTTGGGAGATCCTTCTAACATGGGCGTGTTAATGGAAATGAATTGGATGTTGGACTTCTGCAGCAAATTGCTGGCCAACACTGCAGACCCAAGTGACCCGTTAGCCTAATATTTCAGGTTGCCTCTGAGTTGTTGAGACACACATGCTGATGACAAAAATACCAAATGCAAGTGGCAAGTATGTGCAAATCAAATGCTGCTTTTCACACTGTAGCTTGTCCGCCTTAAAGCTGACACAAAGATGCAGTACCTTAATTGTACCTGATAACGTTATCTTATGTAAACATGTTTGGATTTGGACAAGCACAGCCAGGAGATTTTACTACAGAGAAGACAAAGTGACACTCTTACCTACTTCAATAACTTTCTTGGCTTTAATGAGCTTGATTAAATTTGCCATCAGCTGAGCCTGGTCACAGGACACCATCATTCTGCCCCAGGGATATTCTGCAGTGAGCTAAAAAGGGGAAAGAAATTAATACATCAAACAAACAAACAAAAAGAACCCAAACCAATATCCTAAAAGGGGGGGGTGGGAGGGGGAAACAAACGAGAAAACCCAACACCTCCAAGCTAGAGAAAATATATACTCTTATTTTTCTCATTTTAGATGGTATGGTGCTCCATTTATGAGATAGAAATTGTTTTGAATTTAACAATAACTAAGGTGGATGGTGGGAGGTCATACACACTGACTGGTTATTCAAAGCAGAGATGTGCCCCAAAGTTACCCCATCGCTGTAGCAAACTCAGAAATGTAAATGGTGAAGAACCTTAGTGGAGTATTGACCGTAAATGTCCTTTATTTCAACACATATACACAAGTGGGTATTTTTTATTTATTTTCTTAATAACAAGCTTTGCTGCTCTTAAACCTCCAAGACATGTAGGATGTGGATTTTGTGTTAGTTTTGTTCTTTTTGGTTGGTTGGTTCTTCCACTTTTAAACTATCAGGTCCAAGCCTGTTTCTGAAGGTTGGTCTGTGTAGCTCTGGCTGCACAGCACAGAGCTGGAGGAGTCAGGGTAGGAGGGACCCAGGCATTGTGGAAGGGACAGCAGGAGAAGCAGCTATGCCATAGCAGTTCAGTGGAAAGGAATTTCAATTTCCTTTCCTACAATTTCCTTTCTTCTCTTGGGTCCCACTTGAACCAACCAGCCCCAGTATATAATATTTAATTGCTTTTGTATGGGAACATTACATCTGATTTGGTCAGACCAAGCTGTGAAGCAGGAGGCACTTGTTCTGAGCTGTGGAGCAGGCTGGGGGCAACCAGCTCTCTCAGATAGAGTTTCCTTATATGTCAACTAAAATTAACTTCTAGAAGTCACGTGGTAAAGGCAAGTGAGGTCCAAACACACGGATAAGACGGCATGTTGAAAATGTAAAGCAATACTATCAAATGAAAAAACTATGCTGGGAGACAAAATACCGACCAGGCGCAGCTTCTTGAGAATCGGATGCTCCCTCAAGGAATGATCCAGTATATATTGCCACAGAGGGCTGCTTTTCCCAATAATACTCCTGTGTGGTTTGGATGTCCCAAACAATAGGGATGGATATCTTTTACCTACAATAAAATAAAATAATAATAATAAAAAAATAAGATAACTTGGAGCTCCAATAATGATGTTTTGCAATTGTCTGCTATAGGCTGCTTAAAGAAAAAAAACACCGAAGTTACAGCGCTTTGCTCTGAAAACTGCTGTGAATAATAGAGATGCGATGCAGCTGGGCAGCTCAGTGGACTTCATATATGTATATATACACATATAAATATATATGTATACACCTCTGAACTGTACAGCTCAAGGCTGCAAAGACTGAACGGAAAAGGATTGGGCATGAGATGGTTAGATGTTCAGCAGCTGGAGGTGAAGGCCCCCGGGCAGCCTGACCCTACAGGACACGTAATTTCATGGGGCTACAATGGGACAAGTGTTGCAAGACCTGGGGCAAGCGCAGGGAGAGAAACGTGACCGGGGCAGGACACATCGGATGGCCTTCGCACGGCAGCGCCAGCGCCGTTTCCTTAGCCTGGGGCCCTCGTTCTGCAGATGACAGCCGTCGGGCTCTGGGGCTGTCAGCTGATGCCTCTCCCCAGGCTCCGCGCTTCTATCGAACCCAACTTCAGCCCTCCCGCCTCCTGCTGGCGGAACGCCGCCAAGGAGCGCTTTCGCCCCACGGCTTCCGCCGCCCGTCGCGGTCTGTGTCACGCGGGACGCGGCCGCTCAGCTCCGCGAGCCCCCGGGGACGGGAGCATCTGCCGCCCGCAGCGCAGCGCACGGCGCTCCTGCCCGGCCGGTGTCGCGGGGCAGGCAGCGGGCCGCTTTGGAGAGGACTTCGGCTCCCATCTCTCCAGCCGGGCTGCAGGGCGCGGCTCGGGCTCCGGCTCCGCTTGTTGCTGCGGCCCAGCAGGAAGAGAGAGCGCGCCGCTTACCTGCCAGCAGCCCCGTCGCGAAGGCGACCCCGAGCATGGCCGTGCCGACGGCCACCTCCTTGGGCACGCTGAAGAACGGCATCTCGGGGCGCGGAAAAGCGGCTGCGAGCGGCTCGGTGCGGCACGGCGGAGCGAGGTGGGGCGGAGCTGTCTGCCGCTTGATGCGGGGCGGCCCGGGTCCGCCTCCTCCGTGCTTCCTGTATCGCATTCGTGCCACGTGCGGCGCGAGAGCGGGAAGTTGAGGGATGCTGTGTCTTCCCTCGAGGGAAACGTGTGTCTGCTGGACTATCTGTGGAGAAAGGGCTGCGACCTGCTTTCTGTGAGCATCGCATCTCACTGCTGCTTCTTCGTTTCAAAGCGTGTCCTGGTGGCGTGTAGGCTGGCAGCACTGCGGCGGAGGAGCTCCTGGCAGAAATGTCCTCCCTCCACCAGTCCTGGAGGTGTGCCTTCTCTTTCCTCAACACCCATAGTGAGGTGCCAGCAGGCTCCTTGTCACAAAGTGCATCAGACTGTACCCAAAAGCTGTGGGTTTCTGGGTGCAAGGAATCAAGCCAAGGATGGGGAACAGGTCCTCTGCTCTCATGTCAGACCCTTCTAGTTGGTTAGAGGTCTCCCTCATCACAAAATGCATGGATAAGTGCTGAAAGGACGGTGCAGTCCCACTTGCAGGGACCAAACCCTGGGGTTTGGTTGTCATTTTGTGAAGTATTGGCAATGACAGGCAAAGCCCTTGCAAGATGCAGAGACCCATCTTTCTCTGGGGAAATGAAATTATCAATCCTGCATGCAGACCGGGACTGCAGGCACTGAGTGGACTGCATGTTGGCCTAGAGAGATGTAAGATGAAAGCAGGTAACGCTTCCCTTTTGGCACATATCCTGTATAAAGCCCGATGAACTATGCAGCATTAGGTTAGGATGGTAACTTTTCAGCTGTGTCCTTAAGCTAGCAAAGCTGTCCAGTGTCAGTGCAGTTAGCATAAAGAGATTCTCTTGTAAGTCGTCTTTAGTGCAGGATTAAGTATTTCACCCAAGGCAGAAGCTGTACTTATTTTTATGGGACACAGATTTGCCCATCACTGCATTTTTTTCCTGTGTTAGACCTTATTTATAAGGACTAGGGCTCAGAGCTCGTGTATTTCTCTTGCAGCAGCTCAGCTAATCATGTCAGGCGTTAAGGAGTCTGCTGTGCTTTCTGACTTGCAGAACAAAGCAAGAAATCTGGTCTATCTTGGCAGATAAAATCTCTCTCAGTTTGCTTTTAAAATTTATTTGATTTTGAAGGCTGTGAATGTTGTTGGTTTTTTTTTTTTTTTTTTCCCTTCAGTATCTCATCAATTCCTCTGTGTACATTTTGCTTTTGTAAATGAAAGCATTTCATCCCCATCCCTCGAAGATGAGTGAATAGGAAGCGCCGGGATCCGTCAGTTTAGGCCAAATAGAACTGTGCGAGGCAACAAACTCTTGCAGCGGCCATAAATCAGATTTGTGACTCTGTAGCTCCATCTAGTGATTATTCTTTATAACTGCAACAGGAGGAGGGAGAGATCAGCTGTGGGATTCTCCGCTTTTATTTTATTTTATTTTATTTTATTTTATTTTATTTTATTTTATTTTATTTTATTTTATTTTTTTATTTTTTTTAGCTTCTGCTCTTTGTGCTCTTTCTGAGAACTGCAAGCCATATTGGCCTCCGGACTGACAACTGAACGAGATGCCTCGCTTGTACCTCTCCAGGATCTTCAAGGTTTCTGAAATCACTTAGAGAACAAGTGAACAGAATTGCTAGCATACTTAAACAAGTCTGAAACGGTTTTTTTTGACCCAACTTCTTACATAGTAATAGTTTACCTGTGTAGCAGTGACAAGGCTTTTAATATCTTGAGATATATATTGGACTATATATTGTTTCTTTTAGATAAGGAAATTGATGTACAGATATCCAAAGCAAGATAAAACAGTTATTCTTTTGGTCTCAGAGTGGCAAAAGAATCCAAGTTCTCCAACTAAATCAAAATGAGCTGGCTGCTTTTCTTTGAGCCATCACAATTTTCCTTTTACACTGTTCTGTTATATATTACTGGACAATAAACTTTGGCTGTCACATTAATTCAGACACATGCTTGCAGTGTGTTGTGGCTACTTGAGCACTGAAAGACTTCTTGAGCTGGGTAGCTACCTAGAGAGTGGGAGGCTACCTAGAGATAGAAGGTGTGTGTGAAGTGGTTCGGAATATAAGCTCCACTGTTCCGTATTATCTATAAGGTCAGTTCAGTTGCACAAATTTCACACAACTGGGATAACAGAATTGTAGGGGTTGGAAGGGACCTCTGGAGATCATCATAGAAGGCTACCAGGATGACCAAGTGTGATTTCCCCTTGGTGAATCTGTGTTGACTATTCCCAATAACCTTCTTCTGCTTGCCTGGAAATGATATCCAGAATAAGTTGTTCCATCACCTTCCCAGAGATGAAGGTGAGGCTGACTGGCCTGTAGTTTTCGGGTCCTCCTCCTTATTGTTTTAGCGTCCTGGAGTGACATTGTACTCTAAACTTTAGGTACTCTACTTTTAGGTACCTCTCTTGTTCTGCATGACCTTTCACAGATTATGTGGAATGGTGTGGCTGTTACTTCTGCCAGCTACTTCAGCACTTATGAGTGTATCCTACTGAGACCCAGAGATTTTTGCATGTTGAGTTTGCCTAGATAATCTCTAGCCTCATCTTTCTCTAAGAAGAAGAAGTTTTCCTTTTCACTGACACTCTCTTACCTCCTGAGTCTGGGATTCCTGAGGAGCAGTCTTAGCAGTAAGGCTGAAGCAAAGAAGGAGTAAAAAAAAAAAAGGAAGTAAAAAAAAAGTGTAATTAATAATACCAAGCTTTTTATATAATACTGTCACAGTGCAGCAAGCATATATAACAACTCAGCAACAGCAAGACTAGGCTGCAGAATTGACATAAGGGTGTAAATTGCATCGAATTCCAGGCACAATAAACGTGGCATTTTTTCACTCTGTTTTTTCCACATTCTCTGTTACCAGGGCATCTCCCTCATTCAGCAGCAGGCCCACATTTTCTCTAGTCTCCCTTTTGTTACTTACATACTTAAAGAATCCTTTCTTGTTGCCTTTGACCTCCCTCACCAGATTTAATTAGAATGGTCCTTAGCCTTCCTCACTGCATCCTTGCATGCCCTGATAACATTCTTGAATTCCTACCAAGTGACCAGAACTGGGAGAAGTTTGGGATTTGGAATTGAGATTGTTTCCAGTGTTCTACTTGACCAGCACATTTACTGTGCCTCGAAGCGCCTCCTACCTACAACTGCATCCTGAAAGAGTGAGACTTTGACAGCTTCTTCACACTGGAGCCAGAACATGATCATTTCTGTGAAATGTAAGGAGTAGGATAGATAGGATTCAGACTGGCTAGTCAGCAGTTGACCTCAGGATGTGCAAATCCTCATTTTATTCATACTGATAACCTGTCCCACAGCTTCTCGGTCACTGGGTGACTGATGTCTGCACTAGCTTGTTTTTCAACTTGATACTTGATACTGTCCTTCTAGGACTGTTTTTTTTTCTGTTTGTTTGTTTGTTTTGTACGTGGGAATGTGGTACACCATCCACTTTACTATCATCTGCTGTATATACTGCTGGTATAAGTAGGACTAGGGAAATATTAGCCTACTTATAAGGATGTAATCTCACTTCTGGATTTCTGCCTTTCATTTTGTGCTATTGCGCCACCTCATTTTTCAGAAAGACCAGTAGTACTGAGCATAATGAGGTGGGAGTGTGAAATGCTAAATGAATTGAAATGAGTTTAATAAGTTATTCTGAAAGGAATATCCACTGTCTTTATTTTTATATATTTATTTGTGTGCGTGTTTCTTTCCCTCTTCACACTCCCGTGTATCAGCTACTGGAGCTCAGCTTTGTGCCTTCTGATACATGGGTGTTGTTCTGTGGTCTGCTCCATGGTGTTGTTGAAGACCAAAATATAATCATCTTAATTGTCTTCTTGATGAACTGTAGAGAAGTAAAATCTGAGGGTGGCTGACCATGGGATTGCACACAGTGACTGACAGACTACCTGCAACATGTGCGCTAAACCACATTTGCTATTGATTTGGTTTTACCAGACCTTTTGGCAACGCAAGTCCTAAACCATCACGGCTGCTAATATGATTCTACTAGATGAGGGTGGGTACAGATGACTCTTCTAAGAATGATATTTGCTCTGTGGTGGAAAAATCACTGTATGCCACAAACAATCTGAGGGAAGTGTGCATAGACCTCTTGAACAGCAGAACTCAGCATAAATAATCCCGGTACGCATGTTGAAGTTATACTGCCTACAACATTGTATGGTAACTTGAGTCATGGCCTGAACCACTGATTGAGCACCTGGGGAAAGGACCCAATCAGCCCTGGGAGCACAGGTGGAGGCAATTCAGCTGTGTGACCAGCAGGTGTAGAGCCTGACTGCACCTCTCTTTGACTTTATTTAAGGGCTGATTGGCACTCTGGAAGGTTCTTTGGTTGGTGATCCCTCCTCTGTGGAGTTTCCCTTGTGAGCCTAGCTCTTCAGAGGCAGATGGTGAGCACTTTTCCTTTGTAATGCTTTTCTATTGTGCTGGTTTCCTTGTCATTACGTCTTGTGTAGCACTATTCCATTGTGTTGGAATAGTGTTTCTGATAGTTACGAGTGTTAAAAATAATATAGTAGGGCTATTATTGTTGTGTTGTGTCTGCTGGTGTGGCTTCAAGCATAATTTAAATAGTGCTTGCCTCAAACCTGGATTACCTGTTTTCCCCTGCATTCATGATGAGGATAGCAGTCACAAAGTTTTCTGACATAGCAGCGCTCACATAAGATATACTTAGTTTAGTGAGTAAAGTAGAAATGTGTTCAGAGCTTCTGTACAGAGAAAAAAGTGAAGGCAGTGGTCTTTGCTCCCCAGTAGTTTAGAATAGGAAAGTAAGAAAAATGGTAACAGGAAGGGAGAGCATGGAGCTAAGGGTGTATTGGTCAGATTGCTTGGCATGTTTCTCAAGAGAAATCAGAGCAAAGAAGCTGTAAGGAGAGTTAAGGAAGGAGAATGAAGTTTGAAGCT